CTAGAGGATCTGCTCATCTTTACTTGATGACACTTGCAGAGATTAGATATCTATATGAGGTCAGAGTCTCAGGTCCCCAGTGAGGGATCCCGTACCTCTTTATGCAAGCGTATATGTTAGTGTAAGCAATTCACTGATACTTGAATGACTGAGTAATCTTCCCAACTCAAATCTTCGTTGTTTTAAGCCACCCGTTTTGTGGAAGTTGGTTAGAGCACAGAAAACAAATCCAATAACCAGACAAATGAGGAGTGTGGACTGGCACGGAAGGCCCCCATGAAATGTGGTCGGGAGCTCCTGGACCATAAAAGGTAACAGGGTATTTCTGGGAGCAGGGGCTGGATTTGGGAGGGCCAGGCTCCTGCTGAACCTGGAAGTGGCCTTGGATATCCCGACAGAGGCCCTCAGACTGGCTACCCTGTGGGAAGCTTGCCTTTTTGATGTGTGTGCCTGTCCTCAGGGCTGTAGATCAGCCATCAAAGGTCGAGAGGGCACAGCCTCGGGATCTTGCTGACAGAGCTGGGGTCCTAGCATCAGAACATGTCTTAGGGGATGCAGCTGCCTTTGAGCCAGGCCCTCTGGACAGACCGACAGAAAACAGGCCCCAGCACAAGACACCCCCCCCCCTGCTGCCCGCCCCCTCCAAGGACTCCTCTCATCCTCTCACTGAAGGCATGTTTCACTGTTGCCCTACTTGGTCCAAATGCCTGGAGTGTTCTCGAGGCCCCAGAAGCTGCCGCATGGAGCTCTACAGGTACTTGTGCTCTTCCTGGCTTCAGGGCAGGTACGTAGATCACTGTCTCTCTTAACCTTCACGGTCACCTTGCTGGGAGGGCCCAGGGCACCTGAGACTGGCCAGATTAAACACACGGCTCAAAGGCACAACCACAGCCAAGCCAGACTACCTGAGTTTGATCCCCCAAACCCAGAAAGTAGAAAAGGTTGCCCTCAGACCCACACACACATATGCGTACATATGTTCATGTGCACAAAATAATAAAAGATGGGGAAAGAACCCATCGCCAGAGAGATGACACCTGAGGTTGACCTCTGGCCTCTACATGAACATACAACCGCACAAGCATGAACACACCCACACAGAAACATGGACAGAAGCAGGATCCGGGCATCCAGCGTTTATTTACTTCACTCATATGACCACATCCTTCCCTTGGAACTGAGGCTTTCCTTCCAAGTCTGACTCAGCAAGGCATGAGGTCATTCTGCATTATTTGTGGAGGCTGTCTCAGGAAGGCCAAGGACCAAGGTGAGGTTTCCCAGGAGTGTTGGAGTCTGGACAGGTGCCAGGCACCTGTATGGGGATCCCATGCTGCTTCCTCACTTGGATCCACGCCTGTGGATGGAGTACTGCCATGGCTGACCCACACTTCCACCATCAGATGGTCTCACGGGAAATGTTCAAGACACTTCAGAGCACAGGGGCTCCCGGGGCTCAGGCTGAAGCCAGAGAGAAGGCCGGGGAAGCAGGGGTTCCCCAGGTTCAATAGCCAAAACCTTATGGCTGCTACTTACTGCGTCTTTGCTGCTGGGTGTGAACTCGAAAGTGTGATTCACCATCACAGGGCCAAGCCAGGGTGTGCAGCCACAGCCCCAGAAAGTCCCTCTATAGACCAAAGGCCTCTTCCTCCCGCCTCCCCCAGGTTCCCACGTGGGATGCCCTGTTCCTCTGGGCAGGGACACCGCACCTGCCCATTCACACAGAGGCTGCCCACAATGGAGGAGTCTGTGTTTATGTCTGTCGCTGTAAATAAAGGGTACTCAGCGGGAGGAAGGAACACTGGGTTCTGGAGCATCGTCCTTTCTGGAAGCCCCCACACCTAGTCTCCTAGTCACCTATGATTCAGCCCCTACGCACGGGGCCTGATCTCACCAGAACATCCACTTGGAAGGAAGAGGCGTGTGACCTGTCCTGTATCATTGGAAGGGAGGAAGTATGGGGTTCCCATGCTAGCCACAGAGCCCAGAGCCAGGGCACACTGGGGTTTTCCACGCTCCCCAGGGCCAGGCCTCAGTCTCCAGTGTGTCACCTGGAACTTCCAGGACCCCGCTGCATCCTCAGACCGTACTTGTCACTCCTCTGGGAAGCTTTCCCATCATGACTAGCTTTGATGACCATGACCCTCTGATCTCCTGCATCACAGCAGGCGCCCCACCTCAGTCTCCACAGGGCTGGGAGAGCAGAAGACACTCCCTACATCCCCCGCTCCCCCAGCCTCTTTTCACCCCTCTCCCCCTTTCCTGCCTACTGCAGAGGGGTACAGCCACTGCGGTTCCTTTGTGCGTGGCTGGCCTTGGCACAGCCGTGAGAGTAGGGAAAAGGAGTCTTTCGTGGCTCGCCCCGCGGCTGCCACAAACTGGACCGCGCGCTCTTCTTGTTCAGTGTTTCATTAGCTTATATTAGTTACATACGAAGGTCAGTTTCACTATGACATGCTCATCCGTGTTAATACATTGTGATGATGTTGACTCCAATTACCATCCCTTGTCTCCTTCTCCCTCACTGATTTCTCTTTTCCTCCCAAAGAGGCCCCCTTCAGGTTTCATGCATGTGTGTGTGTGTGTGTGTGTGTGTGTGTGTGTGTGTGTATGCATGTCCCAATGAATTTAGTTAGGGCTGCTTACGGGAGCATGGGTGAGGGTTATTCACAAGAACATCGTCAACTTACCAGGGTCTACACCACCGAAGAAAACCTCTCTCCCTTCTCTGGTAACCACAAATTTGCCTGTCAGTCATCAGGGAAATGCAGTGCCAAGCCACGCCCCTCTCCGGGATGGAATAGCAACAGGTCCAGCCATTCTTAGGTCTTGCGCAGATAGTCAGAGCGGCTGTGGATTCAGAAGTGCCATGATCACACCATGCCTGAAGACAACCACACAGCACACCACCCCTTCCTCCGACTCTTACCTCCTCTCTCTGCTTCCTTTTCCATGGTGCTCGCTGAGCCTGGGAGGTGGTGACACACATGTCCCAGTCACAGCAGAGATGTGTTGAGTTACTCAACACACATCCAGCCACACCCTCTGCTTAAAACAGAGATTTTAATCTCCACCTTTCAAAACACGGCTGTGGCGGTTTGAGTGAGAAGGGCCCCCACAGGCTCCCATATTTGAACGCTTGGTCCCCAGTTGGTGGGACTGTTTAGAAAGGATTATGAAGTGTGACCTTGTTGGAGGAGCTGGAGCGTGTTCCTGGGGGTGGGCTTTGAGGTTTTGAAACCCCATGCCGTTCCCATTAGCTGCCTCTGTCTCTCTCTCTCTGTCTCATGCTCGTGGATCATGGTGTAAGTTCTCAGCGACGGCCTCATCACGGTGCCTTCGTGTCTGCTGTCATGCTCCCCACCATGACTGTCAGGGACTCTGACCTTTGGCGACTGTAAACCCTAAATAAACTCTCTCTTCCATAATTTGCTTTGCTCATGGTGTCTTATCACTACAATAGAAAAGTGACTATGACCGTTGCCCTCCCACGTGGTTGAGCTACATGTTGTTTGTTGATTTGTTGAGACAGGATCATGCAATATAATCCTGGCTGGCCTGGAATTAACCATGTACACCAGGCTGGCCTCAGACTCATAGAGGTCCACCTGCTTCTGCCTCCCAGGTGCTTGGATTAGAGATGGTGTGTGCCGCCACACACACCTGTTGCTTGGTTTTTAATTCAGTCTCCTCTAACCCTAGATTATTGATGCCTGTTTTACATGAGGTTCTATGAGATGCTGGACGCCCATTGATAATAAAGCAAATACAGTCCCTGCCCTTTTGGAAAGCACTGTTCTGTACGGAGAGCACAGCCAACCAATAAACCAACAGCTAAGTCATAACTCCACTCTGGAAAGGGCTTGAAAGGCTGGGTAGACACAGGTAGAAAGACAGGCTGGGTGGGAATGGGTTAATGCTGAGTGGTGTGTGGAGGCTACTCAGTCCTGCAAGGAGGAAAGGGAACAGAGTTCCCGGGAGGTGAAATGGAAATGCAGAAGTCCTGCAGTCTGGAGTGGCAGGAGTATGACTTCCAGGAGTGGAAGAGGGGCGAGACACAGGTCAGGGAGAGAGGCCTGCGCATCTGTGTCGTGGGAAGTAGTTGGTTTATTGAACTTGACCTGGGAAGCCTCTGAAGGTTCCGAGTGGGAAACGGGCGGTCATGAGATTTACTGTTTGGGAAATCATGAGGTCAGAGAGAGGATATGACCGACAGGAAGGAGCCCGATACAATGCTGTCTACGGGCAACCACCCAGCACATAGAGTCCCTACCGTCCTCTTAAATCGTTCTTTCACCAGACAGGAGCCAAAGGCAGGCGTGATGACCCGGGCTAGCCACACTGTGGGTGAAGGCAACAGGCTGCCCCTAGATTCCCTCCAGGGTCTTACAGGTATGGCTTCATGCCATCCAAAGTCCCTCCAGGAGCTGGCACGATTTTATATCCCCTTTGTGAAATGTGATGCGGAGGCACAGAGGAGTTAGCTAACTTACGCACGATCACACAGACCTGGTATGGGCGGACCGCCTTGGCCGCACCCAACCAACACTGTTTGTTGCAGAGGTGGGGTGCCTGTATTCTCTTGCCCCCAAACAGGATGCGTTTGTCCATAGAGCAGACACTTTCCTCTGGTGCCTCCTTACAATCTTACTCCTAAGCATTTAAAAAAATACAGTCAGCAGGCGGCTCCACAGGTGTGTAGCTAAACGTAGCCCCACACAAAATTGTGTACTGACTTCAAACAGTGTGACTGTTGGGGAACTCGTTTTATAAACTTTCATGTATGTGTTCTGGTGGGCGTGACTACATGTGTGTGTGCAGGTAAGTGGATGCCAGAGGCTGAGATCAGGTATCTTTTTCAATCACCCTCCATCTTGTTTTTTGAGACAGTATCTCCCCCTGAAGTTGAATGGGCTGGGCTGGTTGACCAGTAAGCCCATCTCTGCCTCCCCAGTGCTGAGACTACCAGCATGTGCCATTGTGACATGTGCGGCTTTGTAACATGGGGTTCAGGGGATCCTTATGTTGAGGAAGAGGGAGGCTGTCTACAGTGTTACCACCAGCTCCATTCTGGCATCTCTGCCTTCCACGCACCCTTCGTTTTAGAGGCCTTGTAAGGTGAGGTCACTGGCTGTGGTGTGGTGTCGTCTGTGGTTAGGAGAACTCCAGTACTGAGGGGAGCCTGAGCCACGGTGAGGTGCTGAGGGCCTGATCCTATCCATGTTCGGTACAGCACAGGAGCTGGGGGGATGCTGTATCCAAGGCAACCAGGCCTCAAATCCCAGACGCTTAGGTTCACATCGCTCTCTGATGTGGGGCCTCCATGACATGGAGGTAGCAAATGGGGAGGGCCATGGGAGAACAAGCTTCATGGCGGACGAAAGTCAGAATGCCTTCCTAGAGGACATGGTGTCCCAGATCCTCAGGCTTCCCCCTGCCCCGCCCCAGATGCAGCTCATCTCCATCCCTGAGTGTTAGAGGTCTGCCCAACCAGAACATTCTTTCCATCTGTTCAGACATATGTCTGACATCCGGGCAAGAATGTTTGGATGTCTGACCTGTCTGTGAGCAGCTCAGGCCATTTCCTACTCCCAGGAGGCCAACAGCCTTTCCCATGAGGACTGCGTACCAGGAAATCTCCGTGGGGAAGATAAGGAAGTCAGAGCTGGCTGGGCCGGGGCTCCTGGGATCATCCTGTAGTGATCTAGGAGCACGGGAGGTTGGAAGAAAAATCCTCTGGCTGAGACAGAACAGTTTGTGGCCATCCCTCAGTCATTCCTCTCCCAAGAATGCATAATGGGGACAGGGGTTATAAAATGACTGCTCCTGGGGTTAGAATTCATGGTGGCACCAGAAGCCTGGGTTCCCTGGGCCTCCTGAGTGAGAGAGAGCAGAACTAGTCTCATTTGGGCACGCTGATGGTGACCCGTCCCTACCTGAGCCCCCCGTGTCTGTCATCAGGAGCCACAACCTCCTCCTCCTGCACCTCCTAGTCCGCTGGTCCTCCCCTGGGTTACCCAGACACGCTGAGGACACCTGCAACAGTGTGAACTCCCCGGGGCCCATGCCACCTGTTCACTGTCACCTGTGTGTCCTTTCCCTCTCCATGCCTCAGTTTCCCACTTGTGACTGGATAGGGCAGTCTCTGGGAGTTTTGTCAGCTGTCTCTGGTCTCTGGCATGGTGAGTTAGGGTGCATCAGGGCTATTCACAGGGACTACCCAGAGGGGGCTCAATGGAGCAACTGGGAGGTCTCCACTGGAGCACAAGGGGGGCTTCCCAAATATCAGGGCGCCACCCAAGACTTGGGCAGGAAAGGTCCGCTGATGCCAGGTGTGAGGAGTCAAATCTGAGATGCAAAGGCCAGGCATTTGTAGCCCTGGGTGGGCTGGCTCCACAGCCCTAAAGGGCAGCTCCCACACTGGTGAAACTTCCAAGGTGCTCTGCAGGTCCTTAATCTTCTTTTCAAAAAAGTATATTTCGTTTATTATTACTGTGTGTGAGCATGCATAGTGTGTATGTGTGTGGGTGGGGATGTCAGAGGACAATTTTATTTATTATTACTGTGTGTGAGAGCATACGTGTGTGTGTGTGTGTGTGTGTGTGTGTGTGTGTGTGTGTGTGTGTGTGTATAGATGGGGGTGTCAGAGGACAATTTTATGTATTATTACTATGTGTATGAGCATACATAGTGTGTGTGTGTGTGTATGTGTGTGTGTGTGTATAGATGGGGGTGTCAGAGGACAATTTTATGTATTATTGCTGTGTGTGTGATCACACTTGGTGTGTGTGGGGCAGTGTCAGAGGACAATTTTATGGAGTTCACTCTTTCATTTTCATGTGGGTTTTGGGAATCGAACTATGGTTCTCAGGCTTGCACAGCAAGCACCCTTGCCCACTGAGCCATCCCACTTGCCCCATGGTGCTCATCTTTTCTGCAGCCAGGGCCACACCTACAGGTGCAGTGATCCATGCTGCTGGTCATTTGTCTCTTGTTCATAAGGAGCCCACTGTCATTACTGGGGGTCTCTGTCTGCAGCAGGCCCTGGAGGCATCTTTGTGGAGCTGAGCCGTGGCCTTCCTTTTCTGACTGCTGTATTTGATCAGCCCTATCCCTAGGGAAGACCCACCAGGTCTCCCCCAGATCCTTGACAACCACCCAAGAGAGGACAGGAGCCAAAAGTCCATGCTTGAGGCTGGGCAAACGTGTCCTCCTCTCGGGCTGTATCAGCAGGGACAACGGCATGAAGCTACTCACAAGAAAGATTTCCCATAAAAATCTGGTTAGCAGCATACAGCCAAGTTCTGAGTAAGCACTGGCTTAGATGTTCACCGAGGCTGGGGGATGTGCTTGCCATGCAAGCGTGAGGACCTGGGTTCAAACCCAGAACCCATGTGAGAAAGCAAGGTGTGGTGGCCTGTGCTTGAAATCTTACCACAGAGGAAGGGGAGACAAAGAACTCATTGTGGGTTATTAGCCAGCCAGCACCTTTGACCTAGACATGTGCATGCCCGTGTGCGCACATGCGCACACATACACACACGCACACGCACACGCGCACACTTTACCAAATTCAACCACAGCTCTGCACAGGTCATGAATGTGGGGTACCAGCACTGCTTTTCGGGGCACCCCATGGCCCACACAGGACAAACTGGAGAAACAGGGGTGCTGGCTTCTCACAGGCTTGAGCCCAAATAAAGCAGCTCAGCCTCTGCCCTGGGGCTGATGCCAGAGTAGGATGAAAGTGTCTCTTCTCCTTGGGGCTTCCTGGGTGATTAGCAGAGTGACAGACAGAACGTACCTGCACTGTGTCCAGCATGAGGAAGACCCCAGTAGGAGGGTGACATGGCAGACACTAACCTCACAGTTTGGCCCAGTTTCATTTGGTCAGGGTGTGGTAAAACATGACCAAAAGGCACCTTAGGGGAGAATGAGCTTCCGTGGCTCCCAAGGCCAGTCACAGTCAGCCCATTATCTCAGGGAAGTCCAGGCAGAAGCTCACAGAACTGGACACAGACCACCCACAGTCAAGAGCACAGAGGGTAAACACAGCCTTTCTACTTCCTGCTCACCTTCTCCACTCTTACACAGCTCAGGGCCCAGCCCAGGAAATGGAGCATCCACATTCAGACCCGGTCTTCCCACAGCCCACATCCGGGCCGGGTCTTCACACCATCCATATCCAGGCTGGGTCTTCACACCATCCACATCCAGGCTGAGTCTTCACACCATCCACATTCAGGCCTGGTCTTCACACCATCCACATGCAGGCTGGGTCTTCACACCATCCACATTCAGGCTAGGTCTTCACACCACCACATCCAGGCTGGGTCTTCATACCACCCACATTCAGGCTAGGTCTTCATACCACCCACATTCAGGCTGGGTCTTCATACCACCCACATTCAGGCTGGGTCTTCACACCACCCACACTTAGGCTGGGGCTTCAGACCAATTAAGGCAATCAAGATAATCCCCTAGAGACATGTCCACAGGCCAACCAGATCTAAGAAATCCCTCATTCAGACTCTCTTTGTGGGTGGCTTATGACCCTGTGAGTGTAGCGTAGGGTCCTGAAGTATCCCATAGAAATGAAAGACAGGCTATGGCAGGTGTGTTCTTCACAATTGGTGTGGTGAATCATACTAATCCTTTGATCTAGGGATGTGGCTCAGTTGGTAGAGAGGGTTTGCCTAACATGTACTAAGCCCCGGATTCCATCTCTAGTGTCATATAAATAGGCATGGTAGCACATACTTGTAACCCCAACACTGGAGAAGTAGAGGCAGGAGGTTCAGGAGTTCAAGGTCATCCTCAGCTATATATCAAATTTGAGGCCAGCCTGGATACATAGGGTCGTTTCTCAAAACAAAAGAGCATAATAACTTTCTATGTACATTGCAACTTTGATGGCTCACTCAGTGCTTGTAGCTGACGGTTTCCTGTGTCCACCCGGCTCCTGCAGCACTCATGTGAAACGTTCGTTCACTGTTTCTGTTATGCTGACTAGTCCGGGAGCTTCAGGGACCAATGATAGACCCTGCCTCACAAAGCAAGGTAGATGGACGCAGTGAAGAACGACAGCCAGAGTGACCTCTGACCTCCATGTGTACATAGGGGCATTCTGCTCACATGGGCATACACATGAATGTATACATAAAATAAAATAATAGCAATACAAAAATTTTAGACACACAGACAGGGCCAAAAGAATCTTCATCTCTCCTCCTGGATGTCCCAGAAGTCACACCAAGAATGTGATGGTTAATCCTTAACGAAGTCCCCCAAGTGCCTGCCTTGAGGAGATTTCTATCAGGGTTCAGAGCAGATGCTGCAAGTGGCTAAGGATACGAATCTGCGGGATCTAAATGAATCTAAGCACACCGAGTTCTTTAGTCCATTCGTTTTATTCTTTTCAGTCAATTCTATCTGCACAGTTTCAGCCCTGTCCTCACATTCAGCTCCTCTCTGTGCCCAGTTTTCCTGTCCTCATAGTTTTAGTAAGCTCCCATGCTTTTGACCTGATCTTCGTCCCCTGTGCCTTTTTCATCCTTCATCTACATCCTTCCTGGCTCCTTACCCCTGGCCCTGATAAACTCTACAAGAGACCTGCCTTACCGTCTACAGAAGCTCTGTCCTCTCTTCTCTCTGGCCACATGGTTCTGTATCTGCCTCTGGAATTCTGCTCCAGTCCTTACTGGGGATGGTCTGAGTCTCATTTGCACAAGAAACAAAGCTATGCATCTAGGAGCCTGCTTGTCTCCTAGGCTCAGTGGGGGAGTTAGTTACCTAGAAGCTCATCAGCCCTGGGAGTTTAGCTGTTTGCCAAATGGTCTATAGTATTTGGGCACATAAGAATTTCATAGTAGAAGACAGCTAAAATATTAAAAACTGGATAACAACAAATATTTATTTCATAATAAATGGCTTGCCTCTAGAAAAATACCTTAAAATTTCTAGGTATAGCTTTAATATCCAGCTGAATGTCTATAATTTATTTTTGTGGCCCGCAAGAAATACTATAAACTTGACAAGATGTAGAATCGTCTAGAAGGCAGGCGTCAGGCACCCTGGTGGGGGAATGTCTTGACTAGGTTATTTGCCGTGGGCAGATC